CCACTTGTGTTCAAATCCAATGATCAATTGGTATTAAAGGCTAATGTGCATTAGTGTGCTACAATGTGGCATAAAAGGTTTGGACACCTAAATTATAGGAGTCTGAAGCAATTGCAGGAACATGATATGATTCTTGGATTACCTGTGATGCATGACAGTGAAGGTGTGTGTCAAGGATGTGCATTAGGGACGAATCACAGGGAATATTTTCCAAAAGAATCAACTTGGAGAGCAAAAATGCTATTAGAGCTAAAACACTCATATGTGTGTGGCCCTATGCAAACACCAACAGTGAGTGGAAATAGGTACTTCATCACATTCATTGATGGCTAGTCGAGGATGTGCTGGATTTATTTCTTAAAGCACAAGTCAGAAGTCTTCCATGTGTTCAAGAAATTTAAAGCTATGGTAGAACTCCAAAGTGGCTATTCTGTGAAGAAATTGAGAACATATAGGGGAGGAGAGTTCAGTTCAAATAAGTTTGAAAAGTTCTGTGAATCTTTGGGGTTGAAGAGGCAGCTTACTGTTGCATATTCTCCACAACAGAATGGAGTTGTAGAAAGTAAAAACAAAACTATAGTGGAGATGGCTAAATGCAAGCTTCATGATAAAGGTCTTCCATATAATCTCTGGGGTGAAGCAATGAACACATCTGTGTATTTACTAAATAGATGCCCCACAAAAGCATTGTAAAATATTACATTCTTTGAGAAGTTCAGTGAATGAATTCTTGGAATCAAACACCTGAGAATGTTTGGCTCAGTGTGTTGTTCTCTTATTCCAGGAAATCTGAGAAATAAACTGGAAGATACTAGTGTCATTGGCATCGTCATTGGATATGGCACTTATGAGAAAGGGTATAGAGTGCTTAATCCTGAAACACAGAAGGTGATACTCTCAAGGGACGTGATTTTTGATAAGAATGGCAAATTGGACTAGGAGAAACATAAAGTCAAGGAAGTGTGCATTCCATTTTCTAAAAATGAATCCCTAGAAATGAATGAAGTTAATGAAGATCTATACTCCATGGAACATGTTATATCTAGAAGTTCTCAAATTCAAATTAATGGCTCTCCAACTACTATTTCTGGTGAATCAAGTAGTTCAATTTCTACACCTCAGTTTGATGATACTCCACTGAGATATAGAAACTTAAGTGAGATTTATGAGATATATCAAGTGTGTATCATTGAACCAGGGTGCTATATTGAAGCTGCACAAGATGAAGCATAGAAGAAGGCAATGGAAGATGAAATTGGTATGATTTAGAATAATCAAACTTGGAAACTGGCAAGAATACCATCTGATAAGCCTATGACTAGGATGAAATGGGTGTATAACACAAAGTTGAATTTAGATGGCTCAGTTCAAAAGAACAAAGCTAGGCTTGTTGTAAAAGGATATGCACAAAAGTTTAGAGTGTATTATAGTGAAACCTTTGCACATGTTGCAAGGTTAAACACAATAAGGACTTTGATTGCACTGGCTGCAAAAAACAAGTGGAAGCTATTTCAACTAGATGTGAAATCAGTCTTCTTAAATAGTGTGCTAGAAGATGAGGTGTATGTAGATCAGCCAGATGGGTTCATTGTGAAAGGAGAGAAGGATATGGTTTACAAATTGCACAAAGCCTTGTATGGTTTAAAGCAAGCACCTAAGGCCATGGAGAGATAAATTCATACTTTGCACTCTGTGGTTTCAAAAGGGGCACCAGTGAGGCAACATTGTATACCAACTGTAAAGGAGACTCAGGGATGATTTAGAAAAAGACATGAAAAACACATCTGGGTATGCTTTTACCTTTGGTAGTGGAGTTTTCTCTTGGGCTTCAGTTAAACAACAATGTATTGCTTTATCCACAGCTAAAGCAGAGTATATTAATGCATCTGAGGCAGCAACACATGCTACTTGGCTAAGCTTTGTTCTGAAAGACTTTGGTGAAGTGCAATCTGTTGCAACACCAATGAACTGTGAGAATACTTTAGCCATAGCTATCACTAAGAATCCTATCTTTCATCAGAAAACCAAGCATATAAACAAAAGGTACCACTTCATAAAGGAGGAATTGCAGCAAGGAGTGATCGATTTGGTTCACTATCCTACACATGAGTGAGTTTATGATATCTTTACAAAGGCATTAGCAAATGAGCAATTCACCTATCTCAAAGAACTTCTTGGATTGAAGTCAATTCACAATTTAAAAGGGGCTATTATGTGTAAATTGTGATCTAATATGGAAGTGGTAGTTCTTGCTCATATTGCTAGAATAATTAGCTAAATGTTGATTTGGTTGTATCTTTCTTATTTGAGTCTCATAGGCCTTAAGTAAGGAAGTTGTCAAGTTTCTACATCTCATATGGTGTAAGATGGAAGGCTGAGATTGTCCTTATTGTATTTTGAATACTACCAAAAGATTATAACCGTTAGAATTTGGGGCTAATATTCCTATTCTCTCTCTTTAACGGATGTCATGGTGAATGTGTGTGTGTGAATGAAAGAATCAGAGTCACATTCTCTGTTGCTTCTCTCCTCTCTTCTCTCTCACGTCATCATCTTCCATCTTTGTACTGGAATTCTTCTAAATTCCGTTTGGTACGCAAACGGGATGGGACGGGACAGGACGGAACGGGACAAAATGGAACCTTATGTTTGGTACGCGCATGATAGAATGGAATGATTGTTCAGTTTTGTGTTTGGTAAGCACATGACGACCCGGAACCAAAAGATTAAATGACTAACTTACCCATGTTCCGCCTGTTGTTTGGTACAATGTTTATGTGTGGAACGGAACGAAACGGTTTGTTTTTTTTTTAATTTGTTCATATTCAATCTAAGGGTATGATTAAATAGTAAACAAAGTGAAGCATCAATTTTTTGAATAAATATTCATCGGTTCAAAACTACGTCAAAAGCACCAATCCAAAATCTGAGTAGATCCCATAAATCTAATTAAATATTTCCATGTAGATTTAAAATATTTAATAATAAAAAATAATTTTTATTTTTATATAATTAAAACTTAAAAAAGAAAAAGAAGAAGATGAACTATTCATCTTCTGCTTCCCTACCCCGCCTTCTTCCCCATTTCTTGTTATGAAAATCCTTTCAATCTTGATTTTGTTGCTCTAGCAAACCCCCCATCAAAACAAAAGTTTCCCAAAATCTCTATCTCACTATGGTTTTCAAACCCAACAGCAAATAAGCAAAGATCTTTTTGTCCTTCAAATTGAGATTTTGTTTTCTGGGGATTTGGCGCAGAAATGTCATAAATCGAAGACTCCAAGTTAGAAATTCGATCAAAAACTTTGTGAAAGTAATTTACAATTTCTCAGAGTATTCCAAATCAAAGATCATGAGATGGTGGTGGGCTGGAGCTGTTGGCGTTGCCAAGGCAATCACAACCACAACTCCTCCTACATCGATCCCTTCCAACTAATTATTTATTTTTTTCCTATTTAACGTTTTTAATTCCAATTTTTGTAGAAAAAATTCGATGAAGAGGAACCACCGCGAACTCCCCAGAGCGTGGGTCTGTGGTGGAGGGAGCGTTAAGGTCGAGGAAGATGCACCTAGGTTTGTGGTGGAGGAAGAGGAGGCTACAGGAGAGAGGGAGGGTAGAAGAGGAGGAGGCTACAGGAGAGAGAAGGAGGGTAGATAGTGGAATTAATGGAAAAGAGGAGGGTATTGTTGTCCAAAAAAATTATAATTTTGTGTTCGATGGGTGTGGAACGAGTTGTTCTAGGGGGGAAGGTGGAACGAAAAAGTAACTAAATTTCGTTCCGCGGAACAACGCATTCCACTGTTTTTGGCGCACCAAACATGGGACGGAATGCCTCGTCCCATGTACCAAACGGTACCTCATAGCTCACAGTGTACTGATTTATTTCCTTACTCTAGCATTATCGCCTCTAGGTTCCATACTGCAGCCGTGGAGTCAAATGTAGCCTTAATCTGGACGTGGTTGCAGACACTTATTCCTGTTTATGATTGACCTCCAACTGTGAAAACTATAAATCAAAAAGGAAAACTCCTCAGATCTTATCTATCACAAACTTGAAAGTTTTTGGAGCTCTTAAAATCAGTTGAACGGCTTCATAATGGCAAAATCGAACCAACGGAGCAGCTGCTAACATTTTCTCTTGTTTGTCCACAAGGTTTTTATTGGTTACATACTCAATTATACCAAGTAGTATGATCTTGTCAAGTTCACACTAAAACTCAAGTGGTAACATAACCGAATAACCTGAAGCAACAGTAATAGAACAAGATGCTTGAGAGGGTTCACTTTATACCGCTCAGTCTCGTATAGCAATGTCTCTCTGTTGCCAAACATCAATTGGACTCAACCATCAAGCCAAGAGACTAGTAATAGCATAGCTACATGATGCCAGCCACCATGATTCGCCTGCCCAGTCCATGATCCATATGCTTCTCCTCGCACCGGAAATAGAGCATAGCTTTACCTGATGCATCTCCCGGATCCCATACATGCCGAAATTCAAGTATAATACTGGAAAAATGGACGAATGCCGCATGTAGATCAACACCAAAAGCATCAAAGTTGCTCCTCATCAAATCAGATGTAACGATGCAGTCAAAAAGTGTTTTAAACATAATCAAAATTTTCATATCCACTTTTCTTGCCATTAGAGAACAACTGCTCACAGAAACTCGAACCTTTGTCTTCTAACTGCAGGAGCGAGAAACTCGTACCTTTGTCTATGTCATTGCAACCATTCAGATAGGGTGGTGAATCATCGGAGTTGATAGAAATAGAGACCACCGGCGGCGGCACCACATGAGAAGGCAGACTAGTATGGCCAAAGGGCAACGAAGTAAGCTCCTCGGTGGCGGCAGTGTAGTTGGCCTCCACCACGGTGGTGGTAACAACCGTCTGCACAGGTGCTCCCGGTGCAAACTACAACCCGAAATATGTAAATGGGCTAAAACTATACTAAATGGGTCAGGCCCAATAACAACATCCCTTCCCTGACATTTGGAAACAGCTTCCAATGGCAAACGCCCAGCACATTCACCGCCATCCGCCTCCTTCACTGACCTTTCGACTTCCTCAAGAGTCAAGAGCCACCCCAAACCAGTAATTTAATTGATTTATTTATCTAAGAAAATATTAGAAAAGTCAATCCCCACTCTCAGCTCCCAATGTCTTCAGGTCCGAGCTCCACAAATTCAACTCCCACTCTCACTCCCATTTCCCTTTCGCCTTCTTCAATCTTGATCCTCGTTGCATAAACCCTAATTTTCTCTAATTCCGTTTCTCTTTCTTGTCTCGCAAGCTACAGTTCGCAGGCGAATGGCGAACCTGGCCAATTCCGCGTGCTTCAAGCACTCTGTTGCTCTCCGGCCTGATCGCCGTTCTTCTCCAATCGGATTCAGGAGCTTCCGCCGAAGCTACGTTGTTTCGTCCTCAGATTTCGCCAACGAAAACCGAGAGTCGGTGGTTCAAAAATTCAATCTTTTCAGCTTTAAATTTGGTTTTTGCATCAATATTTGAATTTTTAGTTTTGGGTTCTCTGGAATGTGTGTGTTTGCAGGTTTGTGATTGTTGGTGGCGGCAATGCGGCTGGCTATGCAGCTAGGACTTTCGTCGAACACGGAATGGCCGATGGACGCCTTGCAATCGTGTCCAAAGAGGTAAATCAAATCAAATTTTTCCATTTTCTTTTTCTTTTGTAAATTTTGTTTGATTTTTGTTGTTAGAATGTGAAATTGAAGTTAAGTTTTGGTGGGTTCTGTGAACAGGCCGTTGCGCCTTATGAGCGTCCTGCTTTGACAAAAGGCTATTTGTTCCCTTCGGATAAGAAGCCAGCACGATTGCCTGTAAGCTGCAATCACACTTTTGAGTTATGAATTTTGAATATAATTACGAATATGTTTTGGAGTTTAGAATTTGAAACATTATTATTGTAGGGGTTTCATACTTGTGTTGGATCCGGCGGTGATAGGCAAACACCTGACTGGTATAAAGAAAAAGGGATAGAGGTAAATTTTATAACTTTTTCGCGACTCCTGAAACTGCTAAAAAGTTCATTTTTACGCATATTTGCAACTGTAATTCTAAGATGTTGTTGCTTTTCCGAAATTCTGTTCAGATGTTCTATGAAGATCCCGTATCAAATGTTGATATTGAAAAGCAGACACTGACTACAAATTCAGGCAAACTGCTCAAGTTTGGATCACTTATAATTGCAACAGGATGTACAGCCTCAAGGTTTTTTCAATCAACTTTGTAAATTTCTGATTAGTTGGATGTATTGTAAGTGCGGCTAGATTGTACGAATCTAAACTGAAGCAAATCTGCTTCCTTGCCTGTTATGCATTCAGATTTCCTGAGAAAATTGGAGGAAACCTACCTGGTGTTCATTATATTCGGGATGTTGCAGATGCTGATGCACTAGTATCATCATTGGTAAATTTGATATTAACTTGTTTTTTCTCTGTCATACTAATTATTATGATTGTTTCTTTCCATGTTACAATTAATAACTGAAATGGCTCTATAAATATTGAAATGCATCCAGCTCATTAAATTTTGACACAACATTATGAACATTACCTGAGATTAAGGTGAAGTCCCTCATAACTTTCACAACCATATGCTATTTGAAGCTTAGTTGAACAGCCCTTGTTGAGTTTCGTTTGGCGCTTTGAACGTACTTTATTCAAATAAGGCAGACTAGTTTGCTTTTGTTCCTATCTTGTAGAGTTGGAGTGTTTCCTTACTACTTGTATGACTTTAAAGCCTGTATGTTTTGGCATTCCATCTGCTTTAGGAGTGTGAAGATTGTTGTTCCCTGCAATTTATTCATTTATAAAGGAGAAACCCTACACAAATTAAGTGCAAACCTTGTAACTAGTTTTACAAAGTTTAATTGTTCAGCAATTTTCTTTTGTTAATTGTTATCTGATCACGTGGTCTATTCTTGAACTCTGGTTTATTGAGGTTTGCTTTGTTGTTTGGAATTTGAACTATGTTTTATTGAGGCTTGCTTTGTTGTTTGGAATCGTATGGTTTGTTCGTTTCAGTAAAATTTCTTATCTTCTTTTCCAGGAGAAAGCACGGAAGGTGGTGGTTGTTGGTGGTGGTTATATTGGTATGGAGGTTGCTGCAGCCACTATTGGTTGGAAACTTGATACAACAGTATGTGTTAAATTTAACTTGGTGCCTTTTATGTTTGTTGGGTTGAAGTAACAAAATCAGATGAAATAATATAAATTTCAAGCATGTAAATTCTTGACCTACATTTTCGATTTTCCTTCTCTTATATATTTTTTTCCGCTTATGAAGATCATATTTCCAGAAAACCATCTGTTGCAAAGATTGTTTACTGCTTCACTTGCCCGGAGATATGAGGAATTCTACCAAGAGAATGGTGTTAAATTCATAAAGGTACTCTCTCTCTCTCTCTCTCTCTCTCTCCACTTTTTGTAAATTTGGTACCTATCGTTTATGTAGTAATTGCCATTCGACCTGGCCTTTAAAGCTCATTTTATGATGGACCAGGGTGCCTCAATTAAAAATTTAGAAGCTGGTGCTGATGGACGTGTAAATTATGTTAAGCTTGAAGATGGAACTACTATAGAAGCAGACACAGTGAGTTTCCGTTCCTACACATCTTTTGATATCTGGCTTTTTTACTATTGTGTCACCTTGCGCCTTACATCTTGGATAACAAGTGAAGTTTTTCAAGGATTTTCATGTTGATTAAAACTAATAAAATAAAGTATATGAGGAAGTTCATGAAATTGGAATAGTTTTGCTTCTAATTCTTTCATTTTTGCAGGTAGTTATTGGTATTGGAGCAAAACCTGCTGTTGGTCCTTTTGAAAGTGTCGGTTTGGATTCCAGTGTTGGTGGTATACAGGTGCAATTCTGATGCTGTCACAAGACTCACAACTGACACTTTGCGTTTTGTTTTTTAAACGTATAAATATCTACTGTGTGATGTATTATGAAAATCATGGACAAATTATTTGCTTTTTATCAATTGCAATAACCATCTTGGACAATGGATGGACTCATGACCATATATGGGTAACACGTTTTACAATTAATGTCCCGATAAACTGAATTTTGATCAGGATAAAAAATCCTGCATTTAGCAATTTATCTTGGAATAACAATATATTCAAAATATGATTGCCAGGATTAGTTCAAGTTGAATGTGCAATTGCTATTTTGTATTACTTATATCTTTGTACTTTAAACCAAGGTTGATGGTCTGTTCCGGACGAGGATACCTGGAATCTTCGCAGTTGGAGATGTTGCAGCATTTCCATTGAAGGTATGTTTTTGTTAAATCAAGCAGAAAATTCTTTCGTAATCAAAATTCTGAAAGAAAAATATGTTTTGCAATGAGCAGATGTATAACCGTATAGCACGAGTTGAACATGTAGATCATGCTCGTCGATCTGCACAGCATTGCGTTAAGGCTCTAGTGAGTGCACAAACTGATACGTAAGTTAGACTCTCCACGTGTAGCTTATTCTCTAGATAGAGTAGTAGATGAGTTTCGCTTTTCCTGATTCGTTTGTGTTGACACTTCCTTATTGATGATTTTTATATCTGAACAAATCCAGATATGATTACCTCCCATCTTTTTACTCGAGGGTGTTTGAATATGAAGGAAGCCCCAGGAAAATATGGTGGCAATTTTTTGGGGATAACAGGTACGAATCTCTAACATTGCATCTTTTATCTATAATTTTTGAGTTTATTTTTTGCTACGTCTCTGTTAGTCCCTTCTCGTAGTTCACACTGTTATCATTTTATTGAACAGTTGGAGAGACGATTGAAATTGGGAATTTTAATCCTAAGATTGCCACTTTCTGGATAGATTCTGGTAAAGATTCCGTTTCATACATGCACATATTCTCTCTCTCATTCTCTGCATATGTATTGGTGTATTTAATTACAGCTGACATGGTAAGTTTATTCTTGTTGCGCTTCAGGCAAATTGAAAGGTGTTCTTCTTGAGAGCGGAAGTCCCGAGGTACCTTTTGTTTTGTTTTACTTCTTGGCCTTCCCCAAGGTTTATGAAAATAGGAAACAAATTCAACTGACTATCAAGGTTTATGGTTTAGTTGTCCAAAAGGAGAAATGTTAAAGTTTATATTTTGGTGTGACGTATTTTGCCGGCATTGTCCTAAGACTCGCAACATCTCATGTTATGTTGTATAGGAATTTCAACTCCTTCCAAAACTTGCCAGGAGCCAGCCCATTGTCGATAAAGCCAGGCTTCAGAATGCATCTTCGGTTGAGGAGGCAGTGGACATTGTTCAGTCATCGTTATAGGTTGAAGTTGCGGTTTAGTAAAGAAGAGTGCAGCTTGTTTATGTCAATCATAACGCGGAGTTTCACATCTATACATGCCAATGTTTCAGTAGGGAATAAAAGCTTCTTCCATGGCCTCAAGCTTCTTTTAACTTTGGTGAAATTTACAGTAGTTGGTGCAGCGATGCATATCGGAAGAACACAGATAGAGAGAGGTGTAGTTTTCCATTGTTATGGGGCTACTTGTCAGTCCGTGTTCTTTATCAACAGTCGTTTGCTGCAAGTTATGTAGCTTGATCGAATTACTCATGTAAACGTTTCTATTCAATTTTAATAAAATTTCAACCGTTGGACAAAAAAACTTACCGCAACTACAAGCAATTAGACTATAGCCGCTAAATTTAATTGAAATGAAGTTATTAAAGTTTAATCACAACTATAATTCTCAATATTGATGAAAGTGGTCTGGCAGATGACATCAGTGCTTATGATGGATGTGGTGACGTTGGCGTTCTGATTTTTCTACTGGATTAGAATGGGACATAATTTTTATTTTTATTTTTTTTTGTTTTTTTTTTTTGGGGGGTCTGAGATTAAGACATAATTAAAAGAAATTGTGGGGTAGATGACACTCGCCATCGATATCCCAATTGCTGATTTAATCGACAAATTCAATATAATTTTGTGATGCAATATTAAGTATTTGACGGGGAAATTTCATTGGTGGTTTTATTTTATTAAAGTTGTGGCAGAAGAGACTTGTTCTTCCCCCTCTTTTCTTTTTCATCATTTCACTGTCAACCAAGTTGGCTTTAAAATTTGCTTCAAATGGCTCATGAACTTATCAATTATGAATTAGTCATACCCTAATGTCTTTGAAGTTTTGTCCATTTTTTAAACATATAAAAATATCATTAGACTTTATACCACATGATATGAACTAAACGAGTTTATGATTTGAACATTAGTATTCGTCGTATAACTTATTAAGATATATAGCAATCAACAACTGTGAGCCACCTTTGTATTGACGACTGGCACTAATATCTCTATTGTCATATATTGAACATTCTTATTTTTTATTTTTTTTAATGAGATTGGACATCTCACTTATGCTGAAATTGACCATGCAAGTGAGCATCCTTCTTCAAAGAAATGTGATTCAATCGATTAGTGTGGCGCATACAATATTAATTATACTAAACAAAAAAATATTGAAGCAAATGAATGATGTTAGCGTTGAACTTAACAAGACTTTACATTAAAATAATCGAACTTTAAACCTATCATAATCTTAATAGCTATTCTACAATCCCTCACTACTTTGGGCTAATCCTAACTCCTAAGGGCATTGAAGCCTACTTCACATCACATGCAAGAAAAGAAAGGACCATCTACTTGGAATTATTGAGAGTTTTTTATGTAATCAAACTTGTGCGGTTCTTGCCGCCCTTCCTAAATAGTTACTTTTATATATAAGCACAAAATTAAAGGAAAAACAAAAAAAACAAAATAACCATGATATTGATGAGGACCACGTATACTTTAGGGAGTTCCCAAATTGAATTACTTGTTACAATTGGATTCTTCCTTGAAAATCTCAAGTCCCCTGCAAAGTTGATCTACTTACTAATCACAATTTGATGAGTGGTAACAAAAATCTTCTTTTTTTGTGGTTTTAATGAATTGGATATATATATATATATATATATATGTATGTATGTATGTATGTATGTATGTATGTTAAACTAAAAATTGTAAGTAACGAAGACGAGCAATGTTGAATTCAAAGTGGTAATAGAAAGTTACGTAGTGATAATGACCTATAGACTGTAAATTCCTAAAAGAAAATACCTAGATGCTTTCGTTGGAACTAGAGATTTTTACATACTTGGAAATCACAGTTTAATACGTGTGCAAAAACTCCTTTTATAATACCAAATCATTAAGTTTACACATATTTTAAGATGTAATTTGCATGTAAAAAATCAATCAGTGTTTAAACGTCAAAATCACACCAAAAGGTCACAAATCACCTAAACCAAACGTCCAACGTACAATAACATAAGTAGGGTAGAAATGTACAAGCCTTTCAGGCACAGACAATAAATAAAGTGAAAACGAGTGAATCCCACCAAGGCTTTGTGATATATATCTCCATGATCCATGAGTGATTGGTTCCTTGTCCATTCCTTGTCCAACAAGGCAAGGCCTTCAACCTTTAACCTCAAGCGTATTTTTTTTTTTTTTTTCCCGTTGGATTTGTAAATAAAACCCCTTGGCAGGCTTTAGCTTATAAGTCTGTCCGTCTTCCACAAAGACCAGTCCCCTTCAAGGAAAACTCTCTGCAATTTCCTCTCTCTTTCTTCTTCCTCCTTCTCGAAAACCCTCTGCTTTTCGAGCTTTTTTCGATTAATTTTTGTTCGTATTTTATACTTCTTGGTCAGAGCTTCAGACCCAATTGAAATGAAGGTGTAGTTTCCCACTCAGCTGCTCTAATCCAATAGATATACTGAAGTTTCTTTCTTTGTTCGTAAAAATTCCCTCCACCAACCCTGTTTTTTATGCATTAATTTATTTTCTTTCAAAGATTATCGGGTTGATAAGAATATTATTAGGTAGTTTAGATTAAGTTTCGGAGACCTTTGCCTTTTCATTTCACAAAGAAATAAAGAACATGATATTCTCAATGATTTCTGCTTTTATTCCCTCTTTTTTGTGATCCTTCTTGTACTTCTGATCATGGTGACGGGTTTCAGAAATTATGATTTTTGGTCCATGAATAATTGAATTGTTCCTTTGGTTTAAATTGTTAATTGAAAACTAACGAATTGCCATTTTCTCTGCCAAAAATTAAAAAGAAAAATTTAATTGAAACTTATTTTCTTTCTGCAGAAGGTGGTACTGAAATTGGATTTACATGATGACAAGCAAAAGCAAAAGGCCTTGAAAGCAGTCTCCAGCCTTACAGGTATGAGCTTTTTAAGCATATCAGTTTGATTTGGCTTCGTGAAAAACTTGGAAAAAAAATATTCTGAATTCTTTCATTTATCAGCACCTATTGAGGCATTCATCTGGGATATTGTCACTGGAAATTAAAATAAAGTTGCAATCGTAGTCTTTGTTGAAATGTCAAACTATTCCATGCACTTATTGACTTCGTTTTTCCTGTGTTGTGTAAATTTTTGCAGGCATTGACTCAATTGCTATGGACATGAAGGAGAAGAAACTAACGGTGATCGGCGACGTTGACCCGGTCCATGTGGTGGCCAAACTGAGAAAGTGGCACACAGAGATCCTGACAGTCGGGCCGGCAAAGGAAGAAAAGAAAGATGATAAGAAAGACGGAGGGGGTGCCAAAAAAGATGACAAGAAAGAAGATGATAAGAAGAAACCTGATCCAGTTGCTGAGCTTGTCAAAGCCTACCAAGCATACAATCCCCACATGACCAAGTACTACTATGTCCAAAGTGCTGAAGAAAACCCGAATTCCTGTGTTATCTGTTAATTAATTGAGGATTGTGAGATGATTAGCGGTTTGATCATGTATTTTTGGTAAGGCCATCTGAATTTTAAGTTTTAATCATGTTTTGGAACCAATTGGAGGCCAGCCAAAGAAACGTTTGTGGTATGTATGTACAGTGCAAGTGGCTTGAAAAAATAAGTGTCTCAACTTTGAGATTTCAAGCATTTTGGTAGTAAAATTCCATTGGGGTTTTCAAGTTTGCTGCAATTTGATTTTTATTTTAGATTAAAGTTAAAAGCACAGTTAATTACTTGCCCAGCCTCTATCAATAATTTATTTATTATTTAACATGATTACTTGTGGATGAAAATTTTTGGACTGCACTAAAAAATTACATGATTTTTCATCATCTGGGCCAGTTAAATAAAAGGTGGGAATTAATTTAGTTTTTCTTTGACGAGTACATAAATATTTTTTTCGAAACCGAAAAGGACTATGATGTCAACAAGTACGTATTATATTGGAATAGGTTGTGGAAATTTGTTAGATGCAAGAGACCATCGTTTAATAAAAAAAATAGTAAGTGGCAAACAATGCAAGAAAAAAAAAGAAAGAAAGAGGCAATGACATTGACTTCTAGACCTAGAAGAAGATCTTTTAATCTACGGAGTCGAATCATGTGGCCCTGTAACCGCATATATAAATAATTTGGGCGTTTTAATTAGAATATTAATAGCTCTTAGTTGTTGTGTCATCCTGAGGTTAACAATGAGATTTGAAGGGTCATGTGCAGAAAATTCAAATGGACCCTCTTTATGTACAAGACCTTTTTTTCCTTCAGTTGACCAAAAAAACTCTTTTTCCTTGTGTGTTTTTGTTGTTTTGACATTAATTTAAAACAACTTTGTAGCACCATATTATCGCGGTGAACAATGGATAAGAAATGATCCACAAGGAAAGAAAAAAAACCATTTAAGATGAAGTATATGTCAAAAATAATGCATGATGTTTTTAACCAAGTATAAAATAAATATAGTAAGAGTTCAAAGCAGAAAATAATATTGCATTTCTCAAATTTTAACTTAATTAAGTAAAGTGATATATAGGAATAAAATAAAAATTGGTGCCCCCTTGAGATAGGGACCCTGTGCTGTTGCTCCTATGTAGCAATGTAGATGTTAACCATCTTGTATATTTATTTATTTTAAGATGTCTTATAAATATGTAATTTGAAATAGATGGTTTTGCTTTGGGATGATGTGAAGTCTCCATACTGGATTGGGAACGTCCCTCTTGCAAACTGCAAATTATATATGTACGGCAAAGTCAGCAAACGAGCCGTGACGAAATTGTTAATCAATTAATCAATGAGTGCCCCTGGTACTAGTAGTGCTAAAGTAACATAGTGCCTTCACTAAGTTTCACAGGACTAGACTAGATTAAATATTAGTCTAGTCCATGTTTGTTCTCTGGCTGGACTAATTTTAATGGGATTAACCAGAACTCGCTTTCACTAACAACCTTGCTAGCCGCTCTTAGCGTGTCCCCCCGAAAACCATGGGACTAGCTAAGAACGTCTTCGTCCTACTCGAATCACCTCCTCAACCTCGATTACGACGATAGCAGCTTCATCTCCGACGACGAACTCGTCAACTACTTCATCTCCAACAATGACCTCGTCGACTGGGTCATCTCCATCATCTTCTTCTCCTTCGCTACTTCGCAATCGTCATGGTTGTGGCTTTGGCTTTAGCTTCAGCTTCGACTTGCCTCCTCGTCAACTGGGTCATCTCTGCCATGGCTACTTCACAATCTCAGTCATCTTCTCTATATGATTTTTGATACTAAAGGAATGATTTGGCTGTGGTATGATTCTTGTTCTGAATTTCTGTAAT